GTGGGGATGCTGCTGGGCACTGCACATCAGGCACCGGTGCTGCCCAGCGCCGAGTTGGAGGCAGCAACTGGGATTTCTTTTTGGTGTTTCCCAGTGGTTGAGTTGCTTTTTTTGTTTGTTTTAAATCCGTGTTGATTCTTGTCTGTCCTTAACTAGTCCCTGTGTCACCTGGGGGCAGTCCCCTTCGGGCCAGCTGCTCCGCGATCAATGCAGAGCTATTTGCACTATAGTAATACACACAATTGCACATAACTAAATGAATTAATATTTATGGCAAGGGGTGCTGATTCCCTTCTAGTGATTGCATTGTCAGGGGTCAGGTTATATTTTTCGGTTGGGTTTTTGTTTTGTTCCTGTGACTGACTCACTCATTCTTTCCCGTTCCACTTTTTCCCTTTGCCTAATGTTGTTGTTCGAAACGATGGTGCATCATGTTACTAAGAATTTCCCTGGATCTTAACAACGTGTGTTTTTATTAGTGAGCAGCCATCAGGTGAATGGCATCCCTGGAACACCTCAGAGCTGCAGGCTTCCTTGGGGCAGCACCTGTGCAAGATGGGGGGGAGGAAGGATGCTTTCTGGTGTGCCTGGAGCTACCAGGAAAGTGCTGGGCCTCCCATTAACTGTTTGGTGGTTTTTATTTTTTTAAAAGGGGAGACATGGCAGGATGTGGCAGAGCCTCCAGGGCTTTGCCTGGAATTGGGAGCAGTGGGAAAGGGGCAGCTGTGGCAGGGCTGGAGGCTGAATTGCAGCATGGGCTTATGCCAGGTACCACAGCCTGGCAGCACCCTGAGCCCACCAGCAGCAGCGACCCCCACTCCCCGCACATCTCCCGTTGGAGTAGTGGTGACCCCCCCTCCCAAGGCTTGGTCCTGGGGCTGGTGGCACAGAGGCAGTGTAACCCTGCCCCCAGCCAGTGGTGGGAGTCAGTGGCCAAGATGGCATCCCCAGCATCAGCCCACCCCTGGTGGGGCCATCCTGGCCTAAATGAAGCAAGCCTTAACAAAGCAGCGTTTCTCACTCACACGGTGCTGCCACAACCTGCTCCGCTCGCCGAGGCGGCGTGGGGCTGCTCGCTCCCATTTTGGTTTCAAC